GAAGAAAAGACCGGCAAAGACGCCTGGCAAGGCCAAAGCAAAAGGTAAGCGTAAGCGCGCACCATCGAAGAGATCAAGAGCTGACAAATCTGCGCGTACAACGAGCCCACACGTTGCTGCTGGTGACGAAGCCGTCAGGTGAGGAGATTATGCGTTTTGCGTACGATGTGTATCTATGATTGTAATTGTTTGTAGCGATGCGTCTGTTGGTGGGGATTTGGACTACAGCGAAGCGTCTCCATCTCCGCCATGTGCAACAGACACAACGCAGGCAAATCGTGGAGCCATGTCGACATCGGAAGGTGCTTTCTCTGCGCAACAGACTTCACCGCTAACGCCACCTCGGTCTTCGGCTGCCAGGTACGCTGTCACATGATGGATATCAAGCATGTGGAAGATTTATTTCTGACAGCATGCTGTATATTACTGTTGGTTCTGCAAGGTCACTGGATATGGCTACTGCTATTCACACAGCTGCGGTTCCCACAACCCCGCCTCCTCTCTATTCCCGTCAAGATTCCCGTCACGATGATGACATCTATGATGGTGGTGCATTGGATTCGGATTACTATGATTCAGACACTGGGTCAGCAGAATGGTACGAGGACATGGACAATCTTGAAGATGTTGTGGATGCTGAGATCCTAAGCGAGAGCGACACGGAGACGAGTGATGAACTGTCACTAGATGCGCCTCCAACTGGCGATTCACCGAGTTCTACACCTGCAGTTGGCGCAGCTTCTACAACAAACCGTCGCGGGGGACAGCGACCTCCACGAAGTAAGGAGGAGGCCGAACGCTGGAAGGGCATCATTGACAATTGGCGCATCGTAGAAGGGTCTGATTTTTCTAATATAATAGATACAAAGCTCGCTACATTTTCTTGAGAGGAACATCTATTCTGTGGGGACCATTCAAACTAACCGGTTTCATCGATCCGTTGCAAGCCCAGCTACTACAAGTGGGGTCAGACGAATTTGCAAGCACGGTAAGTAAGGTGCTTATTCTGCTTGCTTTTCTCCTTGCTAACTATTACTGTATGTGTCCAAAGATGTACTCACCTAGACCAGTTACACCACTGCATGGCGACGCTCCACCGTCCACCCACCAGCTAAAAATGGACGACGAGTGGGTGGAGGTGAATGGAATTCGAAAGCGACGTCAACGGCAGTGCAAGGTCTGTACTATACGGAAAACAAGCAGTACACAGCGGCAGGTGACGCGATTCTACTGTCCTGGCTGCAGTAAAGGCTCAAACGGTACGCTGCTATGCTCTATGTTTCTTACTACTCCTATCTAACACGTATAATGCAGTGTCTACTTGTGTGACAAGGTGCGCCAAGGACATTACCCCAATAACAACCAGACTTGCTTCTCCATTTGGCACCAACTTTGGCGCAATGGAAGCGAGCGCCCACAGCCGCGCCACGGCCGCGGTATCCAGCTGAGGGCCCCACCAAAAAAGCGGGCGGAAGGACAAGAGGGTCGTGAAGAGGAGGGGGGCGGTGGGGACGAGGAGGAGGCCGCAGGCCTCGGCAATGAGGGAAGTGATGGTGGTGAACATTCTGATTGTGATCAGAACGAGACAACGGAAACTGGTGGTGACGACAGGCAGCAGCAAGAGTAGGAAACAGTGAAACTGCGTAGGTAATAGCCCAAATGACTTGCTTTTAGCAAACAGATGCAATACACAAATTTGCTTTCGTAGCCGTTCTGCACGACTCCGTCAAAAACGATTCATTCCCAATAAAAGAGCCATTTGCACATGCATGATGTCGCGTATGGGCTTTACGAATTTTACTCACCCTGCTCGATATAAAGCATGTGGGTTCATAATACGTACGATTGCAGGATCTTGTACAAATATACAGACACCGATCTTTTTTTTCCTATACAAATTTTACGTTAAGACTTTTTTTAACATGCTTGATATCAAGCATGTGAAAAATAGTCTGTGCATTCAAGATTTGCTCTCGTAACGGAGGGGTTAATAAGGTGTGGCAGTCAGTCTGACGAAATTAACCTTTTTAAGCTTTCGAGTACAGATATAATTTACCCACCGAAGATTTGCTTTGCATCGTCACATCAGCGAAATCTTCGTGCCACGAAGTTTGAGGCAGGTCACGTTTTAAAAATCTAACTCACCTCCACAGAAGGCACGAATCTAGACCGCAATTGATTTGAAGAAAGCAGCGACCGTAAGCGAGCCGTAAACAGGCAATGCCCAAAATCTACGACATACTGCATACACACGTTTAACATTTAATAAGCCAGTTGGTTGCTTACAAGCTTACAATGATCGTTGTAGGAAGCGTACGATTGATGACGGCCACACGATATGCTGCAGCTCTTCATTTCTTAGCTTACATTCGCAAGGAAGATGCTTTGCGTCCATTAAATTTTAAAAGTTGTCAAAATGAGCACCTCACAAGATAAGCTATACCGTAATATTTTGCCGTTGCTGTACCGTAAACACCACGCTGCACGCCGCGATCGTAGGATTTCTCCACATTTTTTGCGTTTGTTATAAGGGCTCTCCATAAAATAATGTTACAAAGTGGATATTTTCGCCCTCGTACTTCGAAGTCATCAATATTGCTCTTCACCCTAAAATGGCGGTGCCTTCTGGAGCATGCTCCACTGTGTGGCGCGAATGATGATGCCGTAGGAACAAGAATGTGTGCGTGTTGTAGTAGGCCAGCCTGAACTAAACCACCAAGTGAACTCTGACGCGTGACCTTCACAGAAACCAGTTAAAATGAGATCGTGATATCGGTGCTAATATAAAAAATCATTATCATTTTCACCCTCGAAACCAGCCCTACTACACATTAGCCTCTACATGAGAGGAAAGCACTCCGTTAAAAAGGGCCGTTCGAACTACGCTAGCTCGTTCATGCTCGTCCTCGCTGGCTTTGTGCTGTAACATCCGGTGGAATTCTTCAGCTGCTAACGCACATCCCGACTTGATCGTGGTGACCATCAAAGGTGTCTGCCGCATGCAAATCTCCGCTACGGATGACAGCCCATCAGTGGACGGTTGAAGAATGCAGACGCCTGTTTCAGTGACGTGCATACCGCTGAATCCGTCCTCGCCTTCTGAGTCGATCTTCCAGGTGTATACTGCTCGTTCTTTCTCCACGAATCTCCTCCCAACAAACCGCTGTAGCAATGACACGGTTGCTCCATTCGGCAGCTTCTTAACAATACGGTACCGAATCATTGCCGTGGCCTCCGAGTCGGCCAAGGTGTCAAGTGCTTGGCGATCTTCCTGGCGATGACGTAACTTGGCCAGCTTCACACAGCCTTTTCGGTCTGGTTGAATTTGAACGGCAGCGTAAACTTATCAAGTTGCTGGTAAAAGTGGATCTCTCCATCCGTCGTGCGCCGATGAACCGAGTTGATAACTCCACCAGGTAACTCGTTAATACCGCTACTTCGGATCACGTCGTCGACGCTGAAATAGCTCACGTCGGTCTCTCGAAGAAGGGCCTTGAATAAGGCCGTCTCGGCGGGCACGATGGCACGAGGAATATCGTTGACATGGCATTCACCTGGGCTTGATCGATTCTCCGAGGACTCGCCAATGATATTAGGCCCCTGTTGATCACAGCCATGGATCAAGCTTCGAAGATAGTCGATGTATGAGGCCTGTACTGTTGTAGCGGCAATAAGTCGTTGTTGTTCCGACTCGGCCCTCTCTCTCTCTCTTCACATTGCCATCTCTTTATGCTTCCCCAGAAAGAATCCGTATCCCTGCTTCTGGAGTGCGCTTGAGATTTTTTTTAAAGTTTGAGATGTTCGGTGAGATCCTTCGCCATTCGTCTCAAGTTTTCGCGTTCGTCCTTAGCCTGTTGTCGTTGCTGTCTGCGTCGAAGTGCCAGCTTTCCTCGCTGAATGTTTGCTTCTTGGCCAGGAACGAGCGCACTGGAAAGAGCTTGGATAGCTCATCGATAAGTTCGAAAGGAAAGCTTTCTAAAGGGTCAATCGGGTAGTTGGCGTCCACAAAGCTGTCGATATCTTCGAAGAGTGCATCCATGTCCTCGCGAGTGTGTCAAAATAAAACTGGAGCTTGGCTCCGGTTATTGGGCGTCATTACCATGGCAGCACCTTGATCCCATCTGCTTAAGTAACAAGTAATCATGACCTTTCCTTGGGCTAACTGCCCATAAGGTTATCCACGTTTTATCCATACATTAATCGAGAGCCAGAAATGTCACGATCACAGATGTGATCTGTCAGTGACAGTGTCACGGCGGAACTTCTTCTCTTAAAGGAATCAAAATTAGTGTTAAAGTGACCACATCTTACTGTAGTCCAGCAATCCTATAGAGGTTTGTTACACTGGACGAGACTCTTGTCGCTGGGGAGAAAATCGTGGGATAGAACAAAAGAAACGTTCAAACCCCGCGATCGCTAAGAATGGGCGTCAGCAGCCCAAGAGGATGTCAGGACCCAAATGGTATTCCAAAATGTGTCACTGCTGACAGAACTCACGCTCACCGACGAAAATGAGCGTCAGCCCGTGTTTTTTTATAAAAAATTCCGTACAAGTACCTCCAAATGCGGCATGGCGATCAGGGAATACCGCGATGCTATCCTACACAGTGCACGAGTCGGCGGCGGTAATGCAACGTGGTAGCCGCTATATGTCAATCACTTATGTCTCCACGACGCTTTTAATGCTGCTAAATCGGCAAATCGACGCATCAATAACACTCCAGAATATCTGTTTTCTTACAGCAATTTCAGGCCCAAGAGAAAAAATACCGAAAAGACACATCGTTATTAACTAGTTGGATAGACCGGTGTGACTGTATTAAATTCGGAAGTGAGGAGCCCAAACCTGAACTGGTGTAAAAGCTACTTACCGTCACAAGTGATTCAGTCGTTCATGAAAGCACCACGTGTCCTTTACAGGTGGCGTCCTCGAACACCCGATAGCGGGCGACGGGACCTTTGCCTGCAGCGGGACAAGAGCTTCAATCTTGGCCTTAAACTTAGGTGAAATCTTGCTGACAACGTCCAACGCCTTCAGGTTCTGCTCTAACTGAGCGGGAGAGCTAGCCCCAATCATCACGGTGGACACCTTGTCGTTGGAGACGCACCAGGCGATAGCGAGTTGAGCCATGGAGCAGCCCAGTTCCTCGGCCACGGGCTTCAGACGGTCAGCTTTGATCACACGCTCTTCAAAGTCCGGAATGGCCCCCTTCAGACCCGACATGTCCAATCTGGAGCCGTCTGGAGTGCCGGCACTGTACTTACCCGTAAGCGTGCCAAAGGAGAGAGGTGACCACGTTGAGAGACCCAGTCCGTACTTCTCGATAAGGGGTGCGAACTCGAGCTCCACCTTACTGCGCTCCAGCAAATTGTACTCCGGCTGCTCTACAACGGGACGAATAAGGCCCAAACGATCAACCTCGCACGCCTCAATGATGTCAGCCGTAGACCACTGGCTTGTACCCCAGTAGAACGCCCACCCTTGCTCGATCACGAAGTTCATGGCGCGAACAGGTTCCTCGATGGGGGTGTAGGTCTCGGATCGGTGGCAGAAGATGACGTCGACGTAATCGAGCTGCAGCCGCGCCAGCGATGCCTTGGTGCCCTCAATGACGTGCTTACGACTCGCGCCTTGGTCGTTCGGACCGCCTGCGAACCAGCCCTTCGAGCCACCGAACACCTTCGCGGTAACCACGAGATCCTCGCGACTCCAAATGCCATCTGCGATACCCATTTTTATCGCCGCCCCCATGTTGCGATCCGCCTGACCATTGCCACGTCTCCGCGCTGTCGAAAAAGTTCACCCCGTGCTTAAACGCAACCTTCATCATCTCGTACCAGCGCTCGGGCGTGTACTTGTCATCGGCCCACATCCAACTTCCAAGCGCAAGGTTGGAGACCATGAGCCCCGAGTTGCCAAGCAAACGGTGAGGCATGCGAGGCGTAGAGCTGTCGGACGGTGAGCTGGACATTGTTGTTGAAGTGTTTGCTGTTGTGTCGCGTTGAAAGAGAAAGCAGAAATGAGGAAATAACAGATAAATTCCAGAAAAGCATTTTAGTGTTAAGTCAAAGGTTATGCATCTGGGTTATAATGCGCACAAAGGACATTCACGTATCGAAGGGGGTGCCCATTACGCGCAAGAAAGTTGCTCGGATTGATTGCTTTACCCTCGCTTCTTCGCAGCCCTCGCTTGCAAGATAATGGTCAAGCAATCGCCTCAGGTGGTACATGGTGTGCTACCGTATTCACAGGAATAATCGACCGTAATCACTGGCTCGTAGACACTAAACATCATTTCAAATTACGTCAATTTAGAGGGCTGATATTGTGCAGCCTAGGATAATTCTGCATTTTTGAATCGCTACTGCCTTCAATACTTTGCGAGCAGGACTACCCTAGCTATGATTTAGTATGTAGAGCGTGCATTTTTGAAAATGATCAGTTAGTAGTAGTTGGGGATTAAAGCGACACCCGTAGAGTATCATAGGAGCCTTGGCTGTTCATGGTTCGGCTTCATACTCAATCCAAAACGTCAATGAATAAATCTATATACTGTAGTCATCGAGCAATGCATACAAACAAGATATCTTGATACAGTACGAGGAAAAAATGAAGCGTTAAAATTGTGGTAGCCGGCGGCTGTTCAAATATATTATTTTAATCTCCACGCTTGCGCATAGCAAGTGACTATTTTAATAGATGTTGGATAATATTTTGGCTACTATTGTTCTTTGCTCTTTGTAAGCTCTACTAACAATAGATGTCACCAACCGGCTGGCAATTCTGCCGTCAACATTAAATGGGTTATTGTTGCAGGCGGAAGGCGCTTCGGGTTTATTCGCTCTTTTTTTTAAGGGCTCGTTGGCTCTAGGACAATTATTAATATTATCGATTGCGATCTCGACTCAATCAATTATGGTGATTGGCAATCTCACAATCATGAAGCTCGTCTCTATGCCCTTTTCTCAGGTTGTGCATGAATCTTGTGCAAACAGTGGGTTTTGAGTATATCGAGCTTCTGCGCAAAAGGGCCACGATTACTTCCTCTCGCAACATAGCATGGGAGCCTGCCAACAACCTTCCGTGGAAGCTCAAAGTCGACTTTGTGTGTACCAACCAACAAGAGGGAGACTGCGTACACGACGCAGCGAGCGCGTAGCGAATCAGGAGTAATGACAAACTTACGTTTGTAAAAATTAAAACACGAACTGAAAACATACTGGAAACAGTTCAATTAATAGTCACCTCTTTTTTTAAAACAGTACACTAGTACTGGATTATGGAAATTCCTCTATGTTTGTGTGCTGTGATTGTGCTCATTAGGTCATTATCGATTTGTACTACGCAAACATCTGGATTAGGCTTGTTACGGTTCAACACAAATATACTGCACTGGAAATCGCCTAGAGTTAGCGTTAGCTTCCTATTAAGTGAATTTAATACCTGAAAGGTTACTTCGAAGCACCTGCCAATCCAGGTGACATTTAAGATATTACCTCAAAAAATCTTAGGACGCAGATGATATTACATGTATCATATATCAACTAATACCAGTACTACGGTGGGGGCTTATCTCGTGTAAATACTCAACAATCACCAACTGGATTGGTGATCGGACGTGGCCGACTGGACGCCGCCCCATACTGTCATAACGTAAAAGGCGAAGCGCCGTAAGACCGTCTTACGACCCTGCATAAATATTGACATAAGATTAGTGAAAATTAGATGAGACGTAAATGTGGTCGATTTCAACTGCCTCTTTACGACGGTCATATGCCGATGACCTGTGCTGCTTGATTTCCGCCTTTCGTGTTTAAGTATCATTTCCAAATCGGCCAAAGAAGTAGGCAGGACTATAGTTATGGGCCAGTATCAAGGAATGCTGCAGCCGTGGACTAATACAGAGTAGCCTACAGCTAACCAATAATTACATGTGCTGTATTAGAAGAGATAAATGGGGGTCGCGTGAGATCATTGTTATTGACTCAAGCAGCAATAGCGACGAGGAGGTAAAACCTGACTGGCCAACTGGATCTCAGTCCGAGCCGCGCAATCGGGTTGCCCTGTCGGCACCTACCATAGTACCTACCTCTCGATTGGACATCTCTGTGAGTCTAAGAGGGGCCGCCATTCGTCCGCCAGTTCCAGGAGCTCTCGAGCGGAACTCTACAACGAGAAGAAGCCGCACTGGCACCCTCCAGGGTGCTGTCAGCGATCATGGTAATTCTCCGCACCGGAAACAACCCCCATCTGGATTGTACGCACGCCCCAAGGAGAATCTTCCTCCTTCACACCGCCCCAACTACGTAGTCCACGAAGTCCGAGTAAAAGCGAGCGCCGCCAAAGGTTTCCTCGAAGCCTGGGTCCTTGCCCAGCGCTACCGAGACGATCCGTACGAGTCCTATGAGTATGTTCGCGGGAACGCCAGCACCTTGTCCTGACATCGACTACGCTTCTACATATGGAGTAGCTTTTTTTGGCGTCTCCCTGGCCTCCTCGAATAGTTTACTTGCACGAATACTACAACCCGGCTTCGATTCGACTACCGTTCGTGTTCAATTACGGAGACTGCGGCTGCTCGGATCCATGCCGGATTGACACGTGCCGCAACGCGAACATGAATGTGGTTTGCACCGACAAGTGCTGCGTTTGGGAGGAGCTTTGCGCGAACCGCCTCGTGAGTCCAACAAGGTCGCTCTCAAGCAGGAGCCTACTACGGGGAAGTACGCACTGGTTGCTAATGTCGCCCTTGAACGTGGTGAGGTGCTCGGCGAGTACCTTGGTCGGCTTCGCTATGTGTAGGCCGACAGGGCTAAGCGTCAGAGGAACGACGGCTACATGCTCACCCTTCGTACACAAACGGACGGTATGCGCTCGAGGTATATTGGCATCGATGCGCATCTTCTGGGCGGTCGCATGCGCTTCGCTAACCATGCGTGCGATGCAAACGCTGATTTTTTTTTAATTCAGAAACGGAGCTCACCACACTGTGGATGCGAGGCTACCGTGAACTACGACTCGGACCTCTGGTTTATGTGCCGTTGTTAGTATACCAAGTGCATCCACGCATCCATGCAGCTCGAAGGGTACCCGTAACTGTTCTTGCTAGCGCTCGTTCCTGAGCGAGGTAAATCGAGGGGAGAAATCGGTAATTTTGGTGAACATCGGCAGATACTAGCGGTTATACACCATAGTATGCATGCGAAGACGATTAAAACTTGCTCTACTGAACCGTCGCTTTTAGCGATATGGTAACGAATACCTCTCGGCTAGACGAAGTACTACCTGTCGCCAAATTCACCCGATGGCGTGGGATCCCAATACTTTTCGGTAGACGTGTTCTTTATCTCTAAGTTTTTTTTAATCTCTTTCCGATCTATGTTGAGGTTCAGTGCACCAATGAAAATGACCCACATTCTAAATAACAGCGAGTGAGCTTGTAATGAAACGCATATCAGAGTGGTGCCAATTCAGGAACGAAGCGCTCAGAGCTCATAATATCATGATATCTCTGAAGGAAATGTACCGATATGCTCGCTGACTCGACACAATATGTACTTTCTCGAGCGATTTCTCGTCAGGCGGGTCCGCGGTGCTTGCAAGACTATATTCCACAACCTCCTTGTACGGTAGCGACACTCTAGCTTTGGTTCCCATTTGGACCTTGGACCTCCAAGTCTTCAGTTCTGTTTTCCTGGGTCTGTAGTTGAGTACCTCGGTGGCGGTATTTCGATCCACCATGGTCTGCATATTAACGAAGGTGGTTTTGCAGTGACGTCCTGCATCATCTGGACGAAGGGCGTTTGGCGGTCAAGGAGATCAGTTGCTGCGCCACAGCTCATTTTCGATTTTCATCTGTGGAGCCCACATCTTCTCACTGCCTAAAACACTCCTCGGTACGTGTAAGCTCATTACTGGATGCAAATTGAGTGTGGCTGTGAGTCAACTATACGGTTTGATGCCTTGTGTGTACAACCGGTTCAATAGCACCAACCCCAAACCGGCGTCGGCCAAACGCACACCCAAGCAAGAGAAGCCTGCAACCTCCATAGGTTCGGCAAAGATGCCTGCAGCAACTATTTCTGTCGAAGCACGCGAGAAGCTTAGGTATTCGGGTCTAGCGGAGAGCTCGGACCGCTTGGGTGGTGGTCGCTATACGGGTTGCATCCAAGTACCGGATGTACGACGAGTTCGAAGAAGCAAGCTACAAAGCAAAAGCGGATCAAGGCCGAAAAGGCAGCCGCCGATCTTAAAATGAAACTGACCTGTGCAACGCAGAGCTCTGCCGACACTTCCTCGGAGTTAGTCAGGCTATCATGATCTTACGTGCTGACGCTGACTGGGAGGACAGGGAACGCGTGGAAGCAGCAGAAATCAAGCGCACCCCCGAACGTGAAGCCCTCGTGGTGTGACAACGCGAGGAGCGTCGAGAAGAGAGAGAAGCAGCAGAAGAACGGTGTTTGTAGAGAGGCGCGAAGAAAGAGAAGCAGCCGAAGAGAGACACCGCGTCAACCGCGAGGAATCTCGTGCGCACATGCGCGAGATGATGATGATGTTATCTACTATTCAGAATGCAAAACACCCCTCGGTGGATATCTAGTGCGCCACACGCCGAATCACGGGGAAGATGCCAACCGTTCCTACTCACACTGCCTCTTCGTTGCACATTCGGCCTCCTTAAGTTGACTTTTCCATTCATGCTCGTAGCTTTTGAAATGAAACTTATATTCTGCTACGTGCTTACCGCATTTTGGATTGTACGCTGCTGGATAAATCCACGACTGCCGTGAGATGTTGTCCAAGACAAATTTCAGATAAAAAGGCTTCGTGGAAATAAGAATGAACGCGTCTGGTTGCTTGGGTTAGACCTACTACAAGTACAAGTACAACTTAAGCTCTCAGCCCTTCCATGTGACCATCTAGCCGCTGGCGAAT